ATATATATATATTATATTCTTAAAATCTGTATACTACTATACTACTATTACTATATTAACCAGCTATCACGGAAGATAGATTGGTACTGCAACAAAATTAGCAACAACACAATGAAAGCAGCCACACCCCACGGCGAGCTTCCCTCCGAAGGGCGGTGGTGGGTCCGCCTCCGCCGCTCCCAAGGTGACATGCCAAAGAGACTATCGGAATCTTCCATAGATGAAAGCCAACGAACGATTAGTATAAGAAGTATAGGTACCACAAAAAGTACCCAATTTATCTGTTCCTCAGCACTTTCCACAACTTCCTCAAAGGAAAAGTACCATTTCGTGCCAAGAAAGATAAAAGTGACTGCCATAATAAGAAGAACTGGGTACGGCAGAGGGTTTAAAGAGAAGCCCTCTAGTATGGATGTGGATGTGCTCCTTTTTCCATAGGCCATTGTTGGACCCTTTTGCACTAATTTTTCAAGAGGCCCTTAGAAATTCAAGACTCAAAATGTATTTATTAGCAAAGACTCAAAATGTATTTATAGCAAAAGCAATATGATGTGATCTTATATTGATGGTGTATGTATTCATACATTTTTGGTATTGCTAGTGGGGTAGCATATATATACGTGACTTCAGGGTAATGGGGCCACAAGAATTATAATATAGACCGTATAAAATGTACATTTTTATTTGTATTTTTATTTTGGGAAAAAGAGTTTCGGAAATTTGAATGCTAATTTGGCATTTTGCACACGTAGTAACGCCTATGTTTAGTGAAGAGATGGAATGAGTGGGAAAGAAAGTTAAAAAGAAGGGCAGCTATTGAATGCAATACAAATCAATATATCACATCTTCTTCATTGAGTGTTGGACTTAAGATACATCGCGTCCTTACCAGATTATGATGAATGACTGAGGCTGTGTTATGGATGTATGCAACAATATAACGTCTCGTTAGGTTTGAATTTTTAATTTGAGTTGAGATATGATATTTTTTTAGAGTTTTTAATTATATCAAAAAAAATTAAATGTAATATTTTTTAAAAAATTTTAAACATTACAAATCTATAACTAAAAATTCAAATCGATAAAATAAATGAAATTTAAATATTCTCGTTAATATTTAAAATAGTATCTAATCAATTAGATTAAATCACATTATTTAATAAACTCAAACGCTAAAACATATAAAAGTTAATTAATAAGTATTTTTTAAAATTAAATGACATAATTGATGTGGTTGGTTAGGTATTATTTGATATCTTAAAAATGAAATCTGAAATTATGTCAAGAATTAAACTTCAAAATCCAAAATTGATTTGTGGCGGTCATTAAAGTTGTAAAAATAAACAAATGAGGACAGAAAAGTATCAGAAAAACTTGTGAAAGAAGGTGGAGATGTCATCAAACACATTCCACTAACTTGTATTTATATGCAAACTTGTCCAACTTCTATAGGGCATGCAGTCCACATCCGCCGTATTATGTCAGTGGCTGCACTTTAAAGAATCATCCATTTAGCCCCACTTTTTCAATTTTATTTCATTTTCTAAAAAGAAAAGGATGATTCAGATAACCATTGGAGATGAAATTTGAAAATCAAGAAAAAATAAAAAGAAGAGAATTTTTCTAGTATTCTTTTTTTTATAGAAATATTAGTGTTTTTTTGTTTATAGACCGTCAATTTATATTATATTTTTAATTTAATTTTTAATTAAATTTAATATAGATATAACGGTCGATAAATAATAAAAATTAGTGTTTTTTTTTTTTTTAAACACACCTGAAAAAGTCCTAAAAAAATTGAAGTGTGGACAATAATTGAGTTGAAAATGGACCACCTTACCATGATATGGATGAATGATAGTAGTGGCCTTTTTATTGGCTTTTTCTTGCTGCTGATAGTGTGTCTTTGTATTACTCCACCTAAACTATGATATTATAAGAGGACTTTATTAGATCATCAAAGAAAAAGTTATTGGTTGCCCAAATTTCAACAATTTGAAGTTCCCAGTATTCCATGTTGATGATTATTAATTCAACTTACTGGACGTTTAGAAGAGGAATTCGTGCCATGATTCGAATCATGGTTCGTAATTCATTATAATATTTTCTCTCACAAAAAATACACATAAAACGAAAATAATTTTGAATCCATAAACTAAACGTGCCCTTAGTTAATACTTGGTAACACTTCCATCTTGTTAATTTTTAAAGGTGTAATAAATTATGGATATTTCCTCACGATGTTACTTGAAAACTTATTTTTTTATTTTATTTTTTGCAAATAAATAAATAAACATCACACCGACGTGATTAGTCAGAAGGCAAGATGAGTTAATCACTTTATCAAAAAAAGAGATGCAGCAGAACTTCTCAAGGAAGAGTTTTCCAAATCATACTGGAAATTTGCATCTAATTCCACCTCTATTACATCATTGATATAAAATTTATAAGAAACGGAATTTTCTTGGGTATAAAGTTTCTTTGAATAAAAAGAAAAAAGAAAAATAAGGGAAAATAAGATCAGAACTTCTAAAGAGGTAATCCTCTCCAAGATTCAGTGGTGGCAGATTCCTGACAAGCTACTTGTCCAACATTCTTTGTTTTTTGTACAAAAATCATCACAAGTTGCATATAATGTTCCTCCTGATAATTGCATCAGGTTTACTTGACTAGCTTTTTCCAAGGAATCTACCTAGATTAAAAATATGATAGCAGATAAAAAAGATTCAAGGGATTAATAAAGTCCTGATAGCAGATAATAATCTGAAGATGGAAAATTTTCTTAATGGCGGCAGATTATCTCATCAGATTCCAACTGGTAAGAATGCATATCCTAGGCTGTGTAGACAACTAGTTTTCTAATCAACCAAAAAAGAAAGGTATTCTGATTTGTCCCTCGGAATTTTATTCCTTTTCAGAGTTGAATATGTTGTCCAATTCAACCAAAGCAACCAAAAAAACCATGAAAACAATTTAAACAAAAGAGATTGAATAACAGCTATATAGTATATTATACACGTTTCAAATAGATATAATTTAGCTACAATTGTACTGCATGTGAAGGCTACCCAGATCCAATTTCATCCCAAAGAAGCATATAAATTGCTATGACATGTAATTATATATGTTAGAATTGAAAGTGAAGGAGCTACTAAGGAACCGGGTACTTAAAACGGCCACATTTACAGGCATGCTTGCCGCGGCAGTGACACCAGACCGGAGGCGGTGGCGGGATTGGACAAGGCCCTCTTGAAGGCTCCACAGAAGACAGGCAATGCACCATGGCTAACAACAAGAGTGGTACGACTAAAAGTGGCCAATTGATATCCAACGTGGGGGTCTTCACCTCAATAGTTGGCAGGGCCATCAGAAGTGCCACCACCAACAAGAATAGCAAAACTGGGTACAATTGTGGGCTTTCTCTCCTTCTACATGCACAGTACCCCATCGGAGTCTTCTTCTGATTAGATCCCTTTTTTTTTTTTTTTTTTTTTTTTTTTTTTTTTTTGTCTTTTGGGTATCCAAAAAAAAAAAGAAAAAAAACGTTGTCAAGAGAGCTTTAGAAGTTGAAGGGCCAATTGACTTATAATAAAATTACTAGAGATGTTGCATTCCTATCCATGTTTCAACCACACAACTATTGATTGATTCCGAGCATTTTTGTCATTAGCTATCAAGCCATTTTCCACCAGCTCAATAATGTCGTTTAAAAATAAAGTTAAGAAACGATTTATGCCCTTTTGATATGGGGCCAAACTTGTGGGGAACAAACTATTAGCTTTGAAAATAATCTATGGTCCGTGATATTGGTTTGTCCCACTAAACTTACTTTCCAATGGTTCAATAGCCTATAATTACAGCTATGATATTCTAAAGACATGTTATGTTGCAACTTTCGGAATAAAATGTTATGCTTGTTATTGTACCGATATTTTATTTAATCACAGCCCCACATCAAGAAAGTAAACTTTACTTAGCTAGTATTTTTGTTTTTTATTTTTCCTCTGTATTTTGATAAGGAGAAATCTTTCTTTCATTAGAAAGGCAAAGCAAATGAAAAGAAACTAAAAAAGGCTGCTGTTTTCTTACAAGCTAAGACGACGCAACAGTGGACCATTCAGAGGCACAAGGAATAACTAGAACAGGCTACAAAGGAATAAATTAAAGGAATTTGGGGAAACGGAAAAATATATATATAAGGGTGTGATTTTAATAGTTACTTGCCCCGTTCACTTCGCTGATTCGAGTTTAGAATTCGAGTTGATTATTTATTAATAAATTTTTATTATTTTAACCGTAAGATATTAACCGTTATATTATTTTAACCGTAAGATATTAATCGCTGTATTATTTTAACCGCAAGATATTAATCCAGCGGTTGCAATCAATTAGATAGTTGATTAAAAGAAATTTATTATAATTAATAAAATTAAATTTTTATCATGTCACGTCATTAAATTACTATATTTAATGGGTGACTATAAATAAAAACGTAACCACTGAAAACTCGTCTATATATAAATATGTGTGTGTGTGTGTGTGTGTGTGTGTGTGTGTGTGTGGAACTGGACTAAAATAGCTGGATGTGAAATCCTTCTGAATTTAGTCTTTTAATTCACATTTATTCTTTAGGACTGAGGACTCGATGAATCTGTGAATGTAGATCGTTTATTCTCGCAATTTTTTTTCTACAAACACAAGAATGGAATGTTGGTTGATAAAGACAGCTCAGATTTCAATAGTTCAGCACGCTCTTGCTTAGCATGGAAAACTACAATAGATATCTCCTTCGTCTCGAGTATTCAATCACCATATGAGGGGGAGTGAATCGCCTAAAAATACAAATATCACTGACTAGAAAGAGATGACATTATGTGTAAGGCTGAAATAAAGCAAATCATCATATATCAGTGACTAGAAATTTGAACGAGTTAGTCGAGAAGAAAATCAATTTGGAAATAAAAATATTGTTACAAGCCTGCCCTTCGACCGGGAGACCATGTGTGTTCAAAGATAAAGTATACAACAGCAAAAGACACATTGACAAACACAATATGCAAGTCTTACTGATGTGTTCATTTGTGTATAAGAAAAACTGAAAAATAATTTAAGCGGGGGAAAAAAGACTCCTGCAAAGTAGCAAAACGAAAATAGTCCTACCTTGCAAATGCTATGCTGCTTGGAAAGTCAATGGCATTGCAAATGCATCGACAGACAGCTTCTCCATCTCTTACTCGGCTTGAAGAACAAGGGCGTGTTATCTTCGCAAAAATTTATGTACATAGATAACATGTTACCTTAGCGGTCACATTCATACGATTTTAACTATAACCCGACAGAGGAATGGGATTAATGTCTTAGACTTTCCCTTCATACTGGAAATTGAGTTTGTAATCATGCTGCAGATTTGCCAATGTGTTTCTACAAGGTCCCTCTACAGAAACAACAGAAAAAATTACGAGACAATCAAGATTTCCCATCAAAGTTGAACTTTAGTTTTGATGCGTCAAGTTGCTTACCTCCAAATACAGTATGAAGATGTTGAAGATCCTCGGCTGAGCAAGCATCTATTAAAGCGTAGACACCCGGTCTTAAAGCTCCATCTATTTCCCTGCATAATAATTAGCTTTATTTCAGATACACTTATAAGAGACTGGCAATTACTCTTACCCCCTACAATCATTAACTTAAAATATTCCTGAGGATTCCGCTAAAATGATCAGTTTTGTGTGTACTGTTATTCTATTGTTTAACCTTGCCATAGATCGAGCTAAATATAAATATAGAAAAACAATATGAACAGACAATCCAACTGTATTAGTGGGGTGATAGGAAAAGAAATCAAGAGCCACGTGCTAATATAGCAACCCTTTTTCCCCCTCTTTTATACAAAAATTTGTAGAAAAAGCTTCCACAAAAGGTAAAAACAACAGAAAGAGAGAATGTTAAGAGACAATGGTAGAAATTACCTCTTGATGCCGGTTTTAAGGGGGCCATAGCCTGAATAAACCCAGATATACGTAGACAAGAACTGAGAACAATGCCGGCCCAAGACATCTTTATGATGTTTTATCTGCAAAATAGGAGAGAGTAAGGAAGTCCACTCTTACATAAAGAAATCATTGAAGACTAATGCTTCACCAAGTACGCATGCCTCGATATACTGACCATGTACAAGTATAAACTAAACTACAGATCAAAATTATTGAGCACTGATAAAGATTTAATATTATAGATCCATCTCATAATCATGCACTCTTGTTAATAAAAAATACCTACCTCTTCATAAATCCTTCGCAGACAATGAGCACATTTTACTCCCTCATCCACTTCCAGTGAAAAATAACTATTTCTGACCATTGAATCAAAATCCATCGTCTCCAAACAATGAAGAAGAACAGAAACAGAAGCTTCCAATAAAGCAATACACTGCTCGCATTCACTAGAAAATACAAGCCATTCACGTGCAATTATACAGTGGCAATTTCGTCGGGGAAAGAAAAAATCAGCAAACGGTAAATGCCAAGAAAGTAATAACAAACAAAAATTAACATATCCAATGCCGTAAAGCAGTATTGGGATAGTTAAGAAAGTACCTCTTGTGATGCTTAAGGACATTATACAGTAACCGGCAGCACGCAGCATATAGGTCAATTGTGAATCGCCTATCCACACCACAAGATTGCATACTTGCTACCGGATTGGGAGTGATAGAAAGTTTAAGCTGATGGAAATACTGGAAAAGTGCTCCAGGTATACGCAAAGATTGTGCTACATGCCAAGCCTCCATTTGGAATAGAGCATGTTTGCCTGAAATTCTTATCAGTACCTCAACACACATAAGAATAACTGCTCCTGGATCTGGAATTGAATCACCTATCAATCTCTCATAGAAGATTAATGGACTCTGCAAATGTAGAATTATGTTGAACACACCAGCAATTAAGCTCTGAATGTGTCTTTTAACGACACTCAAACGCTTGCGTCCTGGAAAGCAAATCAATGGTTAGATGAGTCTAGGTTAATATGCAATTAAATCCATGCATAAAAGCTGAAAATAAAGTTGCAATGACATGTTCATGCGCAGGGCAACGGCTATAATATTTTGTTGTGTGTGTATCTTCTCTAACTAATAGTTGACTAGGAGGAGGATATATCTTATAGAATAACTGGGATAAGATCCATATGAAAGACCTAAGAAAGAAATTCCAAATGGGAAACAGTGTGTATCTTCAAATGTTCTTACCTGAAACAAATTCTAGAACCAAATCCAAGCAGTCAAGAGCAGCAGCAACAATTGAGGAAACTTTTCCGCCGTTTGGACTTCCTGTCTGTATGTCATAACTCACTGTGGACCTTTCCCGCATGCCAACTAATGCTCTTTCTATGGCTTGTACTGCTGACAACAGATGCAATTCTGATGGTTTTTTTATAAACTCTGTGAATGACAACCGCACCCTAGACTTGAATTCATCCACGCCACATGGTTTGCAAGGAAGAGATTCTTGAGAGAGCCCTAAATGACCGTAAAGCAATTTGGTGCTGGCTTCTGTCTCATGAGATGCAAGAGTAGCTCTTTTTCCTTGCAAAGCTATACATTTTCCTAGAGTCCTTAATTGTAGCTCTACCATCTTGACATAAAGATTTCTGGACAAGGTGGGATCAGTCACTGGAAAATGATTCCCTAATTCTTCCAGATATTTTACAACACCATCTAACCAAACAAAAGACAAGGGTTGTGGGACATTCTTGTCTACTAATTCTGATAGCAAGATCTGTGAAATGCCGGTAAACATTTGTGTCAAGTTTGCTGACAAATGAGCACTTTTGACATGCAAATTAAGCCTCAAAATAGCTGAAGAAGAAATTAATAACTGTCTGAGTAGAAATGCTGCTTCAGGACAGTCACCTTCAAGCAAATTCCTCAAGAAAGGCTTGTTCAGGGGTAGGTGATCAAGTGAATCAATTGCAGTAAGAAAATCAACTGCAGAGATTGAACCTACAGACTGGATTCCCTTCTTCGCTACACCTTCAGTTCCAAAATCATCGTGGCTGTCAGATGACGCGGAGCAGGTCAATCCATCTCCAGTACCACCTTGTTGCTTACCACAAGAAATATCAGCCTCCTGCTCCGCACCCACTAGATATTTGTTCTTGTCTGCCTTTTGGAAACATTGAGCATCACCTAAAAGCATCACTCCTAACAATAAACTAGAAAATTCTTCAAAAACATTTATACAAAGGTTGATTTCAGTATTAGATTTTTCTTTCCACCATGATAATATTACTTTATGATCAGAACTTCTCACGTCTGTTTGCTTCATAACGGATGCCAAGCCCCATAAGAACCCACTAAAGCAAGAAATGACTGAGGAGAACCTATTCAGGTTCACAACATTGGTGAGCACACCCACATTTTCATCACAAAGGACATCCTTCAATGGGATAAGTAAGCTTTGCATCTGTTCCCTCAAACTCTTAGCAACACAAAAGACACCATTCCAGGGTTCAACATAGCTGCAGGAACTCAAGCATCGCTTAGATCCTGTTAAATCACTCTGTTCATAGTTCACTCCAGCATTATGTTGCTCGTTGCACGAATTCTGAGGATTTTTAACGGATTGAACAGCATGGTTAAAATGATACTGGTTCAATGTTAGGAATACATATAACGTGTGGTCCAATAAGGAAAAGATGGTATTATCAACTTGAGTACCACTATCTTTTGAAAGCAACTCTTGAATACCAACAACTGCATAAAGTGACTTGAAAAGCCACATAACTGAAAGTGACTTTCCAGGGTACATTTGAGTAAGTGAGGTTTGACTAGCTCCGGTCTTCTCCTCACAAGAAGCCATAATTATATATTTCATGACTTTCCGGCAACATAAGAACAATCTGAGGAGCTTGTAACCTTTATGTGAGTTTGAAGTACCCTCACAGTCTAATAAGCAGCCAATAACAAGCCTGAAACACATCACAATAAGAATATCAGTACCAGTATTTAATCAAATAGCATGCAAGATTATGCTTTGCATAAACGATTTGCAAAATACACACGTCAATTGTACAGTTAATAAAAATAAGGGTGCAAAAGCTAGATAACAGTCGTAAACTGTATTACATTTTCCTCAAGATTTCTTGTTTTACTACTATAACTAAACTAATCCTCTGTTTTCTAAACTATGGTAAGTATTTTTGATCAAAATACAAGTAATCCTTGTCTCATCATATCTTATTAAAACAAGCGAAGAAAATAAAATATAATAGGTGAATAGAGAAATTACTTTGACATCAAATTAACTATTTAGGTTGGAGAACGATGGAAACATATCATACGCAAAAATCATCCAAGTAGGGACAGAGAACACACCTTTCAAGGTTGAGAATCGATGTCAATAAAAGTGAAAAGGATCTTGAACTGAAAAAGCCTTTTGGAATCCAAGTCAAAAGACTCAGCAAATTCTGAGAAGCTGTAAGTTCCATACTGGTTAACAATAAGGCCTTTGGCTCCTTGTCATTTTCTGTGAGAAGCTTGCCAGAAGAACAGGTAACTGGTTTTGCAGCTGAAAAACAATCATACATGCCATTCTGGTTTCTGGAAACAATTGCTACTGAGTTCTCTAAATCACTTAAAACCTCTGGCCAGTTAGGTGATGACTTAAAATCAACATTCGCGAATGAATTACTAACAAAATGTAACACAGATTTCTCCAATGCACGGCAGAACCTCGAGGCAAAGTATCTGCGGACAAACTAATTCAATAGAGAGAGTGAATACCAGGAAATTGGAAAGGAAAACATTTCTGTAGAAGCTCAAAATGATAAAAGGACTTGATCAATTTTAAAAGAGAAACTAAACAATATGAGCAAATCAGCGATAAGAATACTGCGTGCATTGAGGAAGAAAGAAGAGGGAAACAGCTTACTTGTTGTTCATACAGAATGGAGTTATTGAAGAGTTCTAATGAGATTTGCTGCATAGTGACCCTATTCAGTTGGTTTGTTTCATGGTTGTGATGCTTTTCAACCTGCTCAAAGCTTCTTTTTTCCCCGTTGGGAATGGAACTATAGATCAAAAGAGAGAGAAACATCTTTAATTTCTTTTTAGCCGCATGTATTGACCAAATATCGATATTTTGGCAAAGAATCCACCAAATTGCAGTAGCCAATGACTTCTTGTTCACAGAAGAAACGCCAAAATCCCATTCATCACTTTCATGAGCATATGCTTCCTTAGAAGTTGTCTGATCAAAAGCGGAGATTGGCTGCTGATTCTTAGACACTAATGGTAGATACTCCATCATGAAACCAGTAAGTCCTTCGGCCTCTTGCCTAAGAATCAAGATATGCCTTTTCAGCTTTTTGTTCTTTTTATGATAATATGACAAGTCAGCATCATCAACCAACCTAATTTGAACCAAATTTTCATTATTTTGCAGCAGATACTCAAAAGATTTTATCTGCCTGTTCAAATCAACAAGCCTCTGAAGAGTCATGGCATGCATTACATATATCAAAGGACAACAATCTGCAGCACTATCCTGAATATAGATGTCTGAAACAGCTTGGATGACAATAAGAAGAGAAGCTGAAGGCTCTACAAATGAAGAAAAGTAGCCATCGTTTTTCCAATCAGTCTTCTGCATAAAATCTCCACCAGAGAATCCTGTGAAGGAATCCCCCATTGCTGCTGACATCTTTCTTGATGTACCCGGAGGCATAAGACTAGCTGCTTCCCTATATAAGATTCTACAGGACATGTACAGCTGAAAGAAGAACAAAAAGACCCAATGAGTTGAAAATCTAAAACTCAGCAAATCACTTTTGTTTCCAGCCAGCTCATCTTCAAAAGATTTTCCCGTGACAGAAATGAGAAATTTGTTAACAGCATCTGGCTGTAATCCAACTAGATTACTCATGTGAGGACACAGTAGAGTTATCAAGTCCTTTATCGATGCTCCAACTAGGATGCTATTACCAGTTGTAACAGTCAGTGAGTTCAACACCATTGCATACACTTCGGACAACCCTCTTCCCAAGAGCTCAGCTTGCAAATAAAACCTACTTCCAGCATCCAGTTCCCCAAATTTGTTTCCATCAGCAACTACATTGCTAACCTCCATCCATTTCAAAGATTCTGATATATCCGTAATCAACTGTTGAAGACAGGCACTTGCTTGTCCTTCTGGTATTGATTTAATAGCTTTCTGAACAGCAATTTTAAACTCTTGACAACATACTAGTATCCCAACTGATTTCGCATGAGCTTCGCCATGTAAAGGAGTTAAGAATCTAGTATACTTCACCTCGATGTCACCATCATGCGAAATCAAGAGCCTTATTGCTTCACAGAATGAGAAAACGACAATATTCACCTGCATTAGGTTGATCAAGGAAGAACTAGGTTACATATCTTAACCGAAAAAATTAAAAGATTCAAACTAATGATATAGTACCTGACAAAAACAGATTCAAAGTAGTGTTGGATTAATTTAAATGCTCTAATGCAGATAGAAGTGAAGGGATATAGTAAAAAAACTAAAAGACACAAAAATAAAATGAAATTCATCGAAAGATCTTGTACCAACCTGACGGAGTTGACTATAAAGATCAAGCAATTGGCAACCAAGGAATGATATCTTATGAAATAATGAAGACCGTTCTGGTTCATTGGTCAAAGAAATCCCAAGTGTAAAGTGAGAAAGCATCATAAGCCATAAGCTCGTCAAATCATTCCCCATAACGTTGTATTCGATTTCCAAAAGATAACCAACGGCAATAACTACCTCCTCCGCTAATAAAGTTAACATCTCCATCTGTTTCTTGTCATCCAAATCAAGCTTAGAGGACCTGATTAAAGTGGAAGACAGTGACATAATCATATCATAAACTTTCTTCAAGAAAGTAACGCAAGCTCCTTCCGAAGCGTCCTCTGTTCTCAAGTATACCTTTTCATGCATAAAGCTAGCCAGCAAACTGTTAATAGATTTAAGCGTGCAATGGGCATCCAACAATACAGGTTCCTCTCCTTGTTTGTGTTCAAGGTAACCATTAACCTCAAGCAAAAGAGGCTCCATAGCCAATACAAAAAAATCAAAAAGAGACTTCCGTTTGTCTGCAGTCAAGTAAGTTGATAAATAACCCTTCTCTGATACAAGGTTGCAACTCTCGGAAAACGTCTTAGAAGTTGAATCCAAAAAAATACCTTCTAAATGTGTTTTCCCCAAAACCTTAGTGCTTCTGGGCATCACTAGAGCTCCTTTCAGATTCCTAACTCGAGCGGCAAGCAAACAAAACAGTTTTCCTATGCTACATGTTGCCAATTCCTTCTTTGTAGCCACAATCCCTTCCAGTTTGGCAAACAAGTGTCTGTGGTAACTCTTAATGACTGTTTTGGAGTCCTTTTTATTCTCAGAAACATACTTTTCAGTGCTATTTAAGCTCAAAAATCCTTCAATATGCACTGGATGAAACAATCCATGAGACAAGACATCTTCAACTAGTTTCAATAAATTTCCCTTCCCATCAGCAAAACCTCTGTCAGTTTGATGACGCAAGATGCCCAAAAGATGCAACAGAGGCTCAAGAAGTTTATCAATAAAATCATGAAATCCATTTTTCTTAGTAGGGTGCGTCCGCAAGAACTTTGCAAACGGCTCAAATACCGAGCACGAGAGCTGCACGACATATACATCCACAATGCCATAATCAAGATTCTCGGCAAAAACTTTATGAACAAGCTCCAGCACTGCAGCAACAGTTGAAAGCCAGAGATCCAAATTTTCATTTGAAAGACCGCCATAACTTGAGAATACTAAAATGATACAATCAAGAACAGTTCTATGCAACTCAAACCCATCACCAGTGAAACATGACCCTATCTGATAAGAAGATATGTTGTTGAGCTGGGACAATGTATTTTTAGCTATAAAGCCAATAGACTGCAAAAGGTTTCTTGAAAAAATCAAAGAAATTTTCAATTTCAAAGACTCTTCCAAGCATAATTTGAAAATCTTCCAGCATCTTAAGTCCAAAGATGTCTCAATAACTTGAATACTAGATTTCTCCCTATCACTCTTAATTCTCTTTCCTGAGGGAATTAATAAAGACTGAACCCAATCATTAAGAAAAATCAACACACGTGGAATCTCCACCGTCTCACAATCCCGACCATCACCGTCGCCTTTTGATTGCACAAAATCGAAAGCTAGCTCCACCTTCCTGCATTAAAATCCCCTAGTTTGTCATAAAATAGTTTTTTTTTTTTTTTTTTTTTTGGTAAAAAAAAAATTTCAGGAAACAAGCATCAAATTATAGGAATAATAAAATCATGAAAGATCAGGAGACAAGCATAAATTTACAGGTTTGATTATATCATTGTTAAGTCTAGTTACATTTGTATGCTTATAAATAGTACATTAACGTTCGAATGAAAAAAAAAATTCAGGAGACAAGCATCAAATTATAGGAATAATAAAATCATGAAAGATCAGGAGACAAGCATAAATTTACAGGTTTGATTATATCATTGTTAAGTCTAGTTACATTTGTATGCTTATACATAGTACATTAACGTTCGAATGAAAGAGTAATAACATTACTGCAAGAGCTTAACTGAGCATTTCAACCTCGTATTTTGGAATTCTTACGTAAACAAAAAAAAAACAAAAATTAACATTCAAAGTCTCTAACGTTTACCAAAAAAGAAGGAAAAATTAAGAACATGATCAAAAAAAATGGAGGAAAAGGAGAGGCTAACTTTTGAAGATCGAGATCTTTGTTCTGGATTGATAAAATCAATCCCAGGTTCCGCCATGGAAAACCTTGTTCGAATTTCGAAGCTTCTTCTTCTTCCACTTTGGGCGGTTCCTTCTCTTGCTCAGAGAAACTAATCCGGCGCTTCTTCGGAGGTTGTTCAGTATCTGTTGTGCTCTTTTGCTTTCTCTTCCTGTTCTTGTCTGTTCGTTTCTCTCTTAGCTTTGCCCCAGAACTCTCCATTTTCTGGTCCTCTAATTCTTCTTAGCCAGAAAAGGGGTTTTGGGTTTTTGTTCCTCACACAATAGGGTTTTAGCGGGTTCTTCATAATTGACACTTTTTTTTTTTGCCCTTTTACACGCTGTCAAAAAATTATTATGTTCAATTTACGAAAATGGTAATTTCATTTTTAGGTAAGTCAACAGTAAATTTTGACTATAAAAACAAAAAAAAATTCAAAAACAAAAACAAAATATAGGTAAAAAACTCTATGCGACACCGACGCCGCTGCAAGCTCTCCTTCACCGCCACAAGGGCTTATCGCATCGGTTATTAAGGTCTCGTTCATTTTACCGATTTGAGTTTTCAGTTATAAATTTTTATAGTAAAAAATTCTCAGAAAATGTCACATCTAACTTTTTCTGTTACAGTGAAAAACTCTCAGAAAATGTCACATCTCAGTTCGAATTGAAAACTCGAATCCACAAAGTGAACGAGGCCTGATACTAATACTGGGGAGATTTATTTATTTATTTATTTTTTATTGATATTGGCACATCGATTATTCCCGTGCTCAAACTTGATTTTGATTGAGCAAAAATTTAGAGAAAATCCAAAAAATACCTCTTGAATTTTAGTTAAATTTAATATTTTCTCTATATTTTTATAATTCAAAAATTATCCCCTAAGTTTTTTTTTTTTTCATCAATTGAAAATACTTTGAAGAATAATGTATTTTTTCTTTCGAGGAATTTTGAAGGGAAACGTTTTTTCAAAAGAGTTGTTAAATCGGAAAATAAATTATTGCCTCACTCCTTGAAAGCATATTATTGCTATTAACACGTAACAGGTTATCCTTCTTTTACCGGATTCTCAACCAATAAATCAAAGTGAAAAACAAACAAGGACTGAACATTAATATTTGGTTGAAGGATTTAAACCATAATTAGAATTATAGTTCATGGTTTGTTATAGTATTTTCTCTTATAAAAAATACACGTAAATTAAAAATTATTCTAATCATATGATTCTAATCCATGAACCAAACGTCTCCCATGTCTAGTGAGGAAGTTGAGTATGATTGTTGAATCTTTATTATTTTCAATTTTTTAATATCACTGTGGGTCCCAAAAAAATACATATCATTAATAAAAAATACATATCGCTATAGTATTTTCTCTCATAAAAAATACACGTAAATAAAAAATTATTCTAATCATATGATTCTAATCCATGAACCAAACGTCTCTCATGTCTAATGAGGAAGTTGAGTATGATTGTTGAATCTTTATTATTTTGAATTTTTTAATATCACTGTGGGTCCCAAAAAAATACATATCACTAATAATTTTGGAGCCGTGGAATTTTTATTTTTGTTTTTTGAGTTTTAGGGTGTTTTAATTTTTTTTATATATATTTTTAAGGTTTTTAAATTAGGGGCTTTTTTTAGTTTCAAAATTGTTATTAATTGTAATTAAAAATAAAGATAAAATGGGAATGATAAATAAAATTGGACAAAGGGTACCGAGAGGTCCCAATTTTAGTTAAATATCACTTAATGTGAATTTTAAATTCATTCTTAACTTATTTTCATAACTTTAACTCTCACTTTATCTTTTAAATTTTGAATTGTTCTTACTCAAAATCCACTCCGTTGTAATTTATGTTAACAACAAACAGAAAAATAAGGAATTAATGTCATTGATACTTCTTGAATTTTGAAGTCACTTTCACTTTATCCCTTAAATTTTGTAAACTCTAACTTTGCCTATCGAATTTTGAACTTGTCCTATTTAATCCTTCTTGTGATAATTTCTATTAAAATCAAACGATAAATGAGGAAATTAAGTATGACGATGTGATTTTTATTTGTTTATTTTAATAAAAAGATTATGTGACTGCATCACTATTTTTTATTTATTGTTAACAGAAATTATAATAAAAAGAGTTAAGTGAAAATAATTTAAAATTTAGTTAGTAAATAAGAGGAATGCAGTCACTTTAAAAATTGTTACTTTACCGCTGAATTTTGAATTATTTCTACTTAATTCTTTATGTTGTAATTTGTGTTAAAAAAAGATAAATAAAATAGAATAATACAATTATATAATATTTTTATTTGAATTTTTTATTAAAAACAAACCGATAAAAATTAATACCCACACTTAACCCTTTTTTTTCATTTTATTTTAGCATAAACTCTTACCACAACACAAACGAGACAAATTCAAAATTCAGAAAACTCACATTTATCTTCTAATTTTTTCTTTTTGTTGCTTCATCTTACCTCCACGTGCCAGTCTCCTCTCTAATTTTGGTGTGAGGTCTGGCGGGTCAGGCTTGTCCGGATTAAAAAGTAAGCAACTCTGGGCGTACTAAAAATTCTATATAAAGCACAAATTCAAATCCTTCAGTGAAGTTTTCGAAAAAAAAAAAAAAAAATCCTACAGTGAAGGTTGAGCTCGTTTCTTGCGGTTTTTGGTGTCAGAAGAAAGTTGTGCTCTCAAAGATCTCTTCTTTCTGGTTCGTGCTCTCGTTCTCTCTCTATCTCTCTCTCCTCTGCAGAAAATTCATTTCAGGTTAATTTTCTTCAGATTTTCGCCTTTTCGTTTTCAAAACTGGCTTTTCTTCGCTAATGCGTGCATGTTCTTTCGTTTGATTGAAATGCCTATCATCTTGTTCTTTATCGGATCTTGAGTTTCTCTTTTACTTGTGTATTCTGTTCTTTTCTTGTTTGGATCCGAATTTCCAGAAAGTTATCTTTTAAGGCACGTTGTTTTGGTTCTAAAAGGAACTGTTTAATTTATAATTTCCAATTTCTTGATGTCTGTATCGGGAGAAATCGCTAAATCAGAGGAAAATGTGGGAAAAAGATAACTTTTTTTTTTGTTTCATTTCGTACTGATCAGAAGTTGTCATTTTTTGGCACGTTGTTTTGGTTCTAAAAGGAACTGTTTAATTTATAATTTCCATTTTCTTCATGTCTTTATCCGGGGAAATAGCTAAAAATCAGAGGAAAATGTGTGAAAAAGGTAACTTTTTTTTTTTTTCATTTCGTACTGATTGTTGATTTTTTTGTTTTGGGGATTTGTTCAGGTTTCGAAGCCGGGTTATATCAAAGGATATACAAAATCGAATTTCACATCTTTGCAGTAAGTGAGCTCGTTTCTATCGGGTTTTTTGGGTGGGAAGAAGCTGGTGTCCTGTGAAGAACTCTGCTTCACCTCTCTTTTTCTATCTCATCTTCAGAAAATTCAATTCGGGTTAATTTTCTTCAGATTTTTGCCTTTTCGTTTCTGAGAACCAGATTTCTTCCTTCTTTTTCTTCGTTTGGTCTGTTGCTTTCCTCTTCTTTTTCTTGATGCCTTTTCTTTTTTTTTTTTCTCTTTTCTTTAGCTTCTTTTCTCCATGTCTTTGCTAAAACAAAAATAATAATAATAGTAATAAAAATAATGCAGATTAAGTATATGTGGTTTTACTACATTTTTATTATTTGATTGCTGAGTATGTATTAATTATTTTCCCACGATGAATTGGCAACTATGTTGCTGAATGTCTTTCAGTCTAAAAATTTTGAAGAATAAATACTTTTTTGTTCTTTTGAGGAATTTGAAGGGAAATTTTATTTTTTAGACGAGGTGCTACGTTTGATAGTATATTCCTTGAAAGCATGTTGTTGCAATTAGCACGTAGTAGGTTATTCTTCTTTTTACCGAATTCTCAACATCTATATCCAAGTTAAAAATATATTGAATTTGAAAAGTGTTATCATATATAGTACGTCTGGAAGAAGTCGAGTATGAATAGGTTATATTCCACTCATCAAAAAAAAAAAAAAAAAGGCTTTATGTGGTGAGTCTACGTCTATTATGAAGGCATTAAGTATGTATTTGTGTGATGTGTTAGTTTGTGAATTTGTGTCTCCATAGAACTACATTTTTCTAATGCCTTTACCCTTTATATGTCTTGCAGATGTTTGTTTTTGTTCCAAGTGAGGCTGTTTATCCACCTAGCAGATAATTGGGGCTCAATAATTCATTGTCGCACCACATCTTTGAACATCTCACTATTGTTGGAGAGTCTTCGGAAGCTCTGACGCATTCTTTGGCGCATCTCCAAGGCCAATCAGATCAGGTGAAAGGTGGGGCAAGCTTAGTGTTAAAGCGACCCCCACCAATAAACGTTCCAAAAGTATCGGATTCAAGCACGTGGGATACATTCTGGGCATTGGGACCAAATATGTCCGCAGACATGATTTTCAAAGTCCACATGACCCTCTTTAGCGATCCTTAGAACAATTCGATTATGATAAGGTGAGGAACCTCTATGAAGCTATGAAAGAAATTGTATATTTTTGATGTTTTTCAATGCTTTACTGATATGTGCAAGTCCTTGGCTGAACTTCCTGAATGCCTGATGGGTATGCAGCTCATTCTGAGTCCTTCGAAGGGGTATGAAACATTTCCAACTCAGTTGTGTGCTGACAATTGCTGCATGATTGATCGTAGAATGGTAAGTCATTCACATTTAAATTTAGTCTTATTGTTATTTTGTCACCTACCACCTTGAATTGAAACCTGCCACACAATTATGACTTAAGATTTCATTAAGTCCTGTTTGGACATTCTTAGGGCTTGTTCTTTTAGAGTGTGACTTGAGTGTAGTTTTTGAGTTGAATTTGAGTTATAACTTGAGTTGAAGTTGTAACTTGAATAAAGTTGAATAAAGTTGAAACTTAAAAGAATGTGAACTTGAATAAAGCTGTAACTTGAGTTTAAACTTTTTCTGAATTTTGTTGCAAAAGAACAACCCCTAAAAAAAACAACTCGAATTATAACTTTATTTGAGTTTATGTTCTTTTAAGTTTGAACTTGAGTTTGAACTCGAGTTCAAACTCGAGTTTGGGACTAAAACTTTAATTTTGTCTCGTATAATTTTTTGAAACTTTGTGCCCCCCTCCCTCCCCGCGTCACAAGAGTTTATGGGAACTGTTGCTACGAAACTGATTGCTTTCATCCGCTTATTAGCAAAAAAAAAAAAAAAAAAAAAAAAAACTAAACTGATTGCCCCATTAGAAATATTATCATTATTCTTTTTATTTGACACGTGCACCTTAATATTTTATTTTTTATTTAAAAAATAATTTATTTTTTTATTTAAATAATAATTTTTTATGTTAGTATATTCATCAATAGTTCAATAGTTTGATAGTGAGAACGAAAAAAGACCTCACAAGATTGAGGACTTTAGAAAAATATATATGTATTTCTGTAAGGATTTTAGAAAATATTTAAATAAATAAATAAAGGACCTCCAAGAGTATAAAGACATTCTCAACGTTAAAAATAACTCAACTACCATTCAATTTTATAGAGGATCATTTTTAGTTCAGTGTACTACTTAGAGGATCATCCATGATTTTTGAGTTTTTTTATTTTTAATTTTTTATTAGGATTAAGATTTTTAGTTATCTAGTACTCTTTGGACTGAGTCATAATAAGACTAGGATTGCACAGTCTACTATTTAGAGGATCATCCATGATTTTTGAGTTTTTCTTTTAAATTTTAATTTTTTATTAGGATTAAGATTTTTAGTTATCTAGTACTCTTTCGACTGAGTCATAATGAGACTAGGATTGCAGAGTCTACAATTAAGGCTCCTAAATACGTATGCATTTAATAATTTGAAAAAAATAAAAATAAAAATGCCATTAAAGATGGTAAAAATTTATTATTTATACTATTTTATTAAAAAATAAATAAGTATCATTCAATTAATAAGAAGAAAATAAAAGGTCATAATGACATTTTTTTTAGAATGACATGAAAAAAATAATGGTTAAACTTAAAATTTTCTCTTAATTATTTTGTGTTAGTTTGTGAGTTTATGTCTGATAGGACTCTAAGAAGACTTTATTTTCACTAGTTTTCCTTAAACTAGGACACTTTATTACGTGTTCAACTCAAACTAGGATTTTTGTCGATAAAAAAAAAAAAAAAAAAAAACTGAAACTAGGATTGCATGTTGAATTAGGATTTGTCAGCCTATAAATAATGCATTATGTTGAGGTTGGGGCTGCAGGGCCACGCATAGAGGTCAGTACCTTTTTTTTCGTTCCTTCCTAAAGTTCTAGTAAACTTAGGACCTTTTATTATACTCTTTTCTTTATTGAATTTGTAATTTATACGCAAATGGTTATTCTTCTTTTTACCGGATTATCATATATATGTATATATATATATATATACACACACACATACATATATCTCATATATCAATAGAGAAGAAGTTGAGTACCATTGTGAAACCTCTATTATTATAATTAGTTTTGTCTACGTTTAGTGTAAATATGTTTAAATATGTTTATTTGTAACTTTTCTCTCACATGCAGTAATGATTTGCTTTCAGAGAAAGAATATGGTTTTGGTTCTTCTCCTAAAGCTTTTGAGATTATTTTTGGTTAGACATCAAATAGTTTAATGATAAATATATATCGATACAAGACAAATGAATACTTTTATACGATTTTCAGAATATTTAATGTTTAACAATGATTATATAAAATCCACTTGTAAAGAGAATTTAATGTGACATTAAATATTCTGGAGGTTATTTGAGAGTATTCTTTTGTGCTGTATCGATATAATTATTGGACTGTTCCATGTCTCACTGAAAGTAATTTCTCATACGAAAGCTTAAAAGCATGAAGGCGTTTCAATACTCATTCAACAAACTCCGTTCCCTTCTCAAACTCAAGTGAAAAGGTAAAGCATGGGCAGCCAAACAAATTCACATATGTTTTGACTAATGTTCTCTTTTTGTTTTGGGTTCGTTTTTTGGAGACAATCAAGTGAGCATTCCAGCGACTTGTGCTGCTGGTTCTAATAATATCCGAGACCAACTTCGCTGGTTACTGGTGGTTGCTTAGAGTCATTGTTTGATATTACCCTTCTTTTGTGACTTCATGATGACATTAATGTCATACTAGAATGGGCACGTCTCCTTTTTTCACTTAATATTTAATATGTTATTGTATTAATATACTACATAAGATAATATTGATATACTGTATAAACTAATAAATATTAATACAAAAGATAAAATATGCTAACATAATATATTATTAATATATTAATGATATTAATACAATAAAATTATAACGTATTAATGATATTAGTACATACTATACAAATTAATATTGATATAATATATACCACATAAGCTAATATTCATATACTATATAAACCAAAATCAATGTAAAATATAAAATATGTTAACATAACATATTACTATTGATATTATTATTATTATTATTCCCAAATTTTGGTAGTACTCGATTATGTCTGATACGAACTTTGTTTCTAAAAGGGCATCTAACTCAGGAAATCGTTTGGAATTTCCTTGCGCTGGTGGTTTCATGAGAATGGACATGAAATTTAGGTTGAGGGATCGTGGGGAATTTGGGGGAGATAAACAGAAAAAGAAAAAGAAAAGGAAGTCAAAAGATCGTGGGAGAGAGAGAGAAGAAAAGGAAAGAAAATAAAGAAATAAAAAAAAAAATTTATAAAGGGAGAAAGGGGGAAATAGACCAAGACTTGAGATGAATAAAAATTAATAGGTCAATAGTTTACATAAGTTAATAAATATGCTAAATTATTGTTTTGTCCATAATTTGTCTGGTTATGAACCATAACTTGACAAGTTATTGTTCATAATTTACGATTTTTGCCCATAACTTGTCTGGCTATGAACCATAACTTAATAAGTTTGTCCAAAACTTATCTGGTTATGAACCATAACTTGACAAGTTATGGCCTATTAATTTTTATAACTAAAAATTGGCCTATATACTTTTTTAAGCTTTTCATATTGGCCTATTTTCTACTATTTCTGTTTTATAAATTATCTTCAATTTTGTCACTTGTATCAACGTGTCCTGAAATTTAAAATGTGCATGTTGTGCTTTTTGAACTTTGTCACTTATGTCAACATGTCTCTTGAGGTTAACTCCGTTAAGTTTTTAAATGAAAATACTTATAAACACCTCCTAAACGTTGTCACTTGTGCCAATATGCCCCATAAACTTTAAAATATACATATTTTACCTTATAAACTTGTGATATATCTTTAATTTTTCTTCTTCCATCTTGATTCTATCAGTTTTTTAAATAAAAATGTTGATATGATCATTAAATTATTTATTATCTATGATATTACATTAACTTTGTTTACATTCTCAAGTTAGTCCTTGATCTGTTAAGAAACGTGCTTCTTTATTGTTGTATCTTTTTTGCTTTCTAGTCATGTTATTGTTATTGTTAAGAAAATGGTAAAAGGCTTTTAAAAAAATTATATGTATGCGCAAAAGGAAAGTCCAAATACTAATCTTGATTTAAAATCTTATGAGTGCTGATGTGATTAGTTAAGTCTCCAGGTGGGAACGCCCATCTACACATGTAGCTTAGGCAATGAAAAATGAGTAGATCTGTTTTAAGAGAGAATTAAATTAGCCTCCATTATTATACTCTATATACTGACCTGCTTAGATGGATTTTAAGTGGATATAAAGAGCAAAATTAAAGACCTCCACATAGATTCCGGACTAATTCCAAAGAAAAATATATGTACTTCTGTAATGATTGAATTTAGAGAGAGAAAAAACGTTAGAATCATGATTCTGAATTCATAAACCAAACGTCCTCTAAAGCACCTACAACAGTATAAAAACGTTCTCAACCTTAAAAATAACTCAACTACTATGCGATTAAAAATAACTCAACTACTATGCGATTTAACAGGGATCATCCATGATTTTAAGTGTATCTACTATTTATATAGAACAAAATTTACTAACAAGGACTAATCCTAAAAAGAAAAAAAAAATGAGGACTATTTGTGAATTTAATCCTTTATTTTATAAACATTAGGATTCAGATTTTTATTTAACTAGTAGTCATTTGGACTAGGACTGAAACACGAGTGACTAATCTATAATTAAAGTCTGTAACTGTTTAATATTGGGTGTCTGATGCAGCGTAAATAGGGAATATTTTAAAATAGGAGTTATCTTTAGGAATTATCTCTTCTATTAGGATTTTATCTATTTGGCCTTATCTTTTAGTTGTTCTAGTTAAATTAGGATTTTGAGTACTTTGCTTTGCCGTAGGTTAGGATTAGTTTTCTATAAAAAAAAAAAAAAAAAAAAAAAAAAGGCCTTTAGTGTTATTTTGTCATTCAATTTTTGGTTATTAATAAATTCCTTTGAGAGTTCTCTTAATTATCTACATTTTTTATGCTTCCGCTACATCAGTGTCTCAATATTTAGGACTTTTATTTTGTGTTTTCGTTAGGAATTAATATATTTTATAAGTCTTACATTTAGCATAGGATGCTAAACATGCTTTATCATCTTAGGATTAAGATTTTTAGTTATCTAGTACTATTTGGATTGAGTTGTAGTGAGACTTAGGATTGCATAATTAAGGCTTTTAACAAAAATTGAGAAAATTACTTAACTTATTCTTAAAGTGCATGAGTTTAGATTTTTATCATTTATTCTTAATTAATATCTTTTCAACTAATATAGTTTTAATTAAAAAAATACTAATTAAGAGTAAAGAATAAAAATCAAGATTAATGCAATCTAATGAGTATTTGTCTTCTTTCATTTTTAAATCCGTATGCGTTTAATATTTTGATTTTTATGTTAGTTTGTGACTTTATGTCCAATAGGACTTCTATTTTAAAAAAAAATGTTATTGCTATTGGTGTACTGTTCTATTAACAATATACGACTCTTCATTTTCTCTATTTTTCTTAAAATTTGGACATTTTTTTACGTGCTCAACTCAAACTAGGATTTTTTCTACCAAAAGAACTCAAACTAGGATTGTATTTTGAACTCAAACCAGGATTTATCAGCCTATAAATAAGGCATTATGTTGTGGTCGGGGCTGCATGGCCACGCAGAAAGTTGGGTGAGAGTTGGGCCAGGACTCTTTTCCCGGTTTTTTTTTTTTTTTTTTTTTTTCCCCTAGTAAACATAGGATCTTTTGTTATACTATTTTCTTTACTGAATTTATAATTAATACGCAAAAGGTTTTTCTTCTTTTACCGGATTCTCACATATATCTCATATTTCAAAAAACAAAGAGAAGGATTTTAAATTTTATCTATATATGTACATTTGAGTATGATTGTGAAACCTTTATTTATTAATGAATAGTTTTGTCTACGTTTACTGTAAATAGGTTTATTTGTAGCTTTTTCTCTCAAAATGCAGTACTCATTTGCTTTCAGAGAAAGAATATGGTTTTGGTTCTTCTTCTAAAGTTTTTGAGATTATTTCTGGTTAGACATCAAACAACTCAATGATAGATATATATTGATAAGACAGACGAATACTTTTACGCGGTCTTCAGAATATTTAATGTTTAACAACGATTATATAAAACCCACTTGTAGAGAGAATCTAATATGTAATTACGTTTAGTTCACTGATTCGAGTTTTTAATTCGAGTTGAGATGTGATTTTATGTGATAACTTTTTACTGTAACAAAAAAGTTAGATGTGACTGTTTGAGAGCTTTTTACTGTGGTAAAACTCGAATTATAAACTTGAATCAGTGAAATAAACGGGGCCATATTCTGGGAGTCGCTTGAGAGTATTCTTTTGTGCTGCATCGATATAATTATTGGGCTGCTTCATGTCTCATTGGAAGTAAGTTCTCATATGAAAACTTAAAAGCATGAAGCTGTTTCAATACTCATTCAACAAACTCCGTTCCCTACTCATCTTGCTCAAGTAAAAAGGTAAAGCATGGCTAGCCATGCAAAGTCGCATATGTTTTGACGACAATATGTTTTCCCTTTTCATACGTATTTACATCTAATATTTACATATTTTCTGTTATCCTAGTTTTCCACGTAATACTGTTCAAATCATTATCCTTTCTACACAATTTTATATATTCAAATTATTAGTGGTGTGAATATATCTTATTCGTCATCAGTCTCCTTGTCCAGTCCTGCAACCATCCCCCATCATGTGTTGACACTCTCTGTATAGCTGTTCGTTTCTCTGCAATCTCTTGATATCACTAATTCAGGTACAATACCAGTAGTTTATCTACTAAAGGTAAGTGTGAAAGAGCTAAATAAACTGACAGAAATTTAGCATCCATGGTTGTAGCCTCGCATCTGATATCCCATTTTTTTGTCTCCATTCCGTGCCTTCATTAAATGTTGACATATTATTTAATGGACATTTAGTTCATAAATTCAGAATCATTTTCGATTTACGTGTGTTTTTTTTTTTTGAAAAAAAATATTATAATGAATCACGAACCATAATTTAAATCATGACACGAACGAAACGCACCCTTAATTGCTCATTTAAAAAAGTAAAGGCATCCTTTGATTTTCGCCATATGTTTGAAGCAGGGTAGAGAGTGTATGCTATACACCGTGGCGTGGACTGCTTGTTTCATCAAATTATGCAAGTATCCCAGAAGCGTAAGAATTATCAGAAAGCAAAATTTTCCAAATATTCACATTAATACGAGAGGAAGAACGGGACAAAACAAGTATCTCCTCATATACAGGGGGGTTCCGCACTCTACATGAGCAAAATTCAAAGCCTCGATAAACCCCTTTTTTTTTTTATTCCAAAAGCTCTGAATAGAGAATACAAACGGAATAACTATCATCCGCGATGTAATCAGTTAAAATCTCAATTGGAACTCAGATATGAATAATTGGGACTTTCATTCAAATCCCTCGTTAATCCAAGCAGCAAGAGCAACAAAAACGACTTATTTGAAGAGTGGATCGCGAACCATAAATTTAGAGCAACATTGACTCCGGATTCTCAATGTAGCCTTTGAACGCTTTCAACCATTCTGCACCAATTGCGCCTGAAAAAAAAAAAAAAAATACATGGAGCAAGTAGCATCATCAGGATTTTGTTTTGAACTGTCCACGTTCCTACAGAAAAACTCCGGCAGACTTACCATCAATAACACGATGATCACAACTTAGTGTTGCAGACATGAAGGAAGCAAACTTATATTGCTCAGGTCCGGAACTAGGCACAACCCTCTTCTCAGCTGTTCAAAGGAAAGCATATAAAGTCAAGACAGGATAGACAAAAGCGGGTTTGATCTAAAGAAAGACAAGTGTTAAGCTTACCGGATCCGATTGCAAGAATGCCTGATTGGGGAGGGTTGATGATGGCGCAAAATTGCTTAACACCAAAGGGACCTCCCAAATTCGACACTGTAAATGTGCCTCCCTGGTAAGAGGACAGATCAGCATGTGTAAATTGATATGATTGCAATTTTTTTTTTTTTTTAGTACAGGCATGATTCACAAAGGACAGCATCGCTCTCACCTCATAGTCCTCAGGTTTTAAGCTTCCTTCTTTCGCTTTTTGGGCCAACTGCTTGACCTCGTCTGCTATCCTGGACAGGCCTTTCTTATCTGCATCCTGCAAATTAAACGGTTGGTGTCTAAGATAGATTACCTTTGGGGATAAAAAAAAAAATGATATCCTTCAATATCTTTAGCTGAGCTAACTAACCCGGACAACAGGAACAAAAAGTCCATTATCTGTCTGCACTGCGACATTAATATTCACGTTGTGATACCTAGAACAAAAGACAACAAAGAAGGTTATAATCTAAACGTGATATGGAGACTTCTATTTAAACTTTTGATATAACTGTATACTTACTGGCGGATATATTCATCAGTCCATGAACTATTGCACTGAGGAACTTTTCTAAGAGCCAAAGCAGCAGCCTGCAAGTAATAGTTTTATGAGATTGGTTCAACACGAGGAGGAAAACAGATACCTGCTGTATGTAGACAATCTTTGAAAATTATAAGTACACATTAATTATGTTTTAAAATAAATAATAGTAAAAAATGGACCAAGCAAGCACTGGAAAATTTTTTACTCCGTTTTTTTTTTTTTTCAAAAAAGATTTCACTTCACCTTCTTCCACAAAAACCAACCGAAGAATGACAAAGAAAATCACTTTGCCAGTTCTATCATTCTCCCATGAACTTGCCTTAAAGTCCTCAAAATTTACTTGGTCTTAGAATAAAAAAATTTTATACACTCATTGGGTGTGCGGGAAATACTGTTAAACAAACATCTCATACCTTTATTACAAGGTCATTAACAGATATCCGCTTCCGGCCAGATGCTTCTTGCAATGCATTAAGCTGGCCTCGTAAACTGCAAACAAATAACCATTTATATAAGTAATATGGTGAAACAATGACTTAACTTCTAAAAGGAACAGAGAGTAATGCTCACTCCAAAAGTTTGTCGACACATGAGTCTACTGTCAAATAATAATGTGGAATTGTTTGCTTTGAGAATAACAACCGCGAAGCTGTGATCTGCCAAAGTCATACCAGAAAACAGCTTCAGATATGTAAAAGTTCAAGTTATACAAATAATAAACCCTAAAAAGACTAAGAAATGGCACAACTAGAAAGATGTCTAAAACTTGTTATTCCCCGATTGAGCAACAAGAAGAGTAAAAATACGCAAAAGAAAAGAAGAAAGAAGTAACATAATGGCAGGGTAAAAGGACCACCAATCTCCTAGATAGAAACATTCTTAAATTGCATAAATTTTATACAGATAAGGATAACACTATTTTGTATATCCACCTTTCGTATCTGAGAAATATGGATGTCAGTGTAATCTAAAGCCTCAGGTGCTGCATGCTTAGCCTTGGCAGCTGCTGCAGGAGCTTCCTTGCTGCGAGAAGCTACATAATTGTAGAAAAGAATATATAACATTCAACTGATTAGCCACCAAAAGAATGTCAGACAAGGGTTTTAAAATAATTAAAAAAAAAAAAAAAAAGCATTCCCTATAGTTAGGAGATACATAAATAACCAATAAATTTTAGCCAAAACAAAAATCAATCATGGCTAGTGACGACATAATAATATATAAATGACCAACAAAAATTTTCTTGTAAAAGTTCATCAATCATGAGTGATAAAGAGATACCTAAGTAATCTTCAATATCAGCCTTCACAATGCGTCCATCTGGACCTGTTCCTTTAATACTTGAGAGTGGCACCTAGATTCATGCAAACAAGGTAGCGGTCAATAACGATTGGCATCTACAGTTGTTCCCTATAAAAAAGTACATACCCAAATGAACAAAAATGGTCAAGGCATTTCAAATGACATACATTGTTTTCTTCAGCCAAATTTCTTGCAAGAGGACTAGCAAAAATGCGATCTTCAGAAGCAGGAGGTGCGCTGGGCTTTGAAACTTTTGGCTCCGGAGGAGTAGCTGGTTCTTTAACCACCTCTTTCTGGGGCGGAGGGGAAGCAGATGGCACCTTATCTGCAGCAGCACCACCATCTGATGATGATGGGGTGTAGTCTTTGAATTTTGCAATATCCTCCTCATCTTCAACAGTTATAGCGATGAGCTATGGGCAAAAGCATTAATGTCAAGTAGACAGCTCCCAAAAAATGGTCTTCTCTATGAATTTTCTTATGGACATAAATGTACGAAGCTAAATAGTCTTCGTCTGATCTAGTCTAAGTCATTGCTATTCTTAAGCACAGCAAATGATACTTAAACAAAAATGTAAATGAATAAAAATACTTGTTGTGCTTCCTAAAGGAAAATATTTGATACCTCGCCAACTTTGATTTCTTTGGCCCCATCTCCACAAATAATTTTGGCAAGATAGCCTTCCTCCATGCATTCCATCTCAACTGTAGCTTTATCCTAGGAAAAGTTTGATGTGTAAAGACATCAGTTAGCCTTCTATCCAATCAGCATGTTACAGCAACGGAAAAATCCCTTTCCGGTCTTAACCTGATGGGGAAACAAAATAACAAAAAGGTAGAAGAACTTACAGTTTCAACTTCACAAAGGACTTCACCAGGAGAAACCTTTTCACCCTCCTTTTTCAACCACCTTGCAATATTACCCTTCATATCATAAAAGGAGTATTTAGCGGATAAAGTGGAGATGATAAGTGACAGTAAGCAACAGAGAGACACAAACCTCTGTCATTGTAGGTGAAAGAGATGGCATTCCTATCCCTTGGTGAGGAGGAAGGCCTGAAACATATTTTAAACAACCGATTGTGAGCTGAATCTCAGCATTGTTTCCAGATATATAAGATGACCACATTGAACTTAAGATAAGATAAACAATCGCTTTTGGGATGATGGTGTAGAAAATTGTGTGAATTAGTTAAAGGATTAAGAAAAAGGTTACCAAGGAGACCAAATGACATAAAAGTACAAGTTTTCTAAATTCTTCATGGCCAAAGCAGCAAACTAGAGCATAATGTGATAAAATAAAAGGTTATAATAACATAGGCCGGGTACGGGGTACCCCCAGTCTTACAGCACTGTCATAAATGTAAGCAACAGGCAGTAGCAACATGAAAAATACATTTTTCTTTGTGAGGAAAAAGGAAAGAAAAGGAAAGAAAAACTACACTGCCGAAATAGAGGGGATAAAGAAAACACAAGGTAACGAATAAGTACCTGCATCAGACGAAAAGCCTCTCCTTAATGGAACCTGCGAACTAATATAGAGAGAAAAAGGTGTCACCGAAAAATCCACATAAAAAAAAAAACACTTTGACAACGTACCACGAAAGCCATTTGTTTAATTCCAACCCAGCAATTGAATTTCCCACTTTCACTGTTGTTGTTGAGACATTCCTTTTATGTGTACCAGACAATGACTTCTGCAAGACATGAGGAAGTCTTTGACAACTTATTCTAATATCTAAACTTAAACTCATTTATAAACACTATTCTAATAGAAAAATCAGATTAAAACCAGAAGCACTTACAGTGCTACTAATGAAAGACTTAGTAAGTCCCTCTCCTTCCGTAGGCACATAGCCATGGCCACGAATCCTCCATATCTCTGAGGTCCAAATAGAATCAATCTAAGCAAATCGAATCATATTGAAGAAGCATTTAACATAAAACCAAAGAAGCCAAGCTTTAACTGAGAACCCAACGTAATCTTAATTTCATCACCAGCTTTTGCCTAAATATTTAAACCCTCCTTTATCCAGATTAACAAAAACTCATGAAGAGCATTAAACGACAAGAAATCATACCATCCCTCTTACCAACAGAGGGTTGGCCACTGAAAGAAAACCAACGAACCAGGAGAGCATTCTCATGTCTCAGCAAGTTTGGAGCACTTCTTAACTGCTAAAAGGACACAAGTAATGTACAAATTAATTTTCTTTAAACAAATTTCGCATTTGCTCAATGAATAAAATCACAAAGAAGCATTCAAAAATAAAGCAAGCCAAAAACATAATCTTGATTATGCATGATTTGAAACTAAATAAATTTGGGTAAAAATATGAAAAAAAAAAGAAGTAATGAGCATCAAAATTCACATTAATCGCCAAAAAGTTCAAAGCCCAGAAAATTAAATCGCCAATGGCAATTCCAAATGAACAAAACAAAAAGAGCACAACATTTAGCAAAGCCCACAAGTGAATAAGCGAATTGAGACAAAAAGCGAAAAAACCCCGGATTGAGAATTCATTAAAATTTAAGAAAAGCACAAACTTTACGTAAAATACAGCCAGTGAAAAACGATGCCGAGTACCTTTTTTGATTGATTGATAATACGGGATGCGTATGCCATTTTTCCCAATTGCACCGATCAAAACGATATCCCAGAGAAAATGAAAAAATAATAAAAAAAGGAGGTTCGTTTGGTTTGACGAGAAGGAGTTTTGAACTTCTAGGGTTCAGTGATCGGTACAGAATCACAGAACTCAGATCGCGCAGACTTTGTTCTTCTTTTCCTTTTTCTTATTTTTTTCTTTTATAATTTGTTTTTTTTTCCTTTTTCGTTCTTTTTTCTTTTTTCTTTTTGGTGAAAATTGAGAAACTATTCTATGATACAGAAAATTGGACTTGACTGGGCTGGGCTTTGTTCAGTTCAGATGAGAGGAGGCCGCCCCTACCTTTTTGGATTTTTACCGAACTCAAGTAGAGTACGTCTCTTTTAAATCCTTATAGTAAAAAAAATTTAAAAATAATCACATTTAATTTTTTTACTATAATAAAAAATTTTTATATAAAATTACATATCAATTCAAATTAAAAATTCAAATCAACAAATTAAACGAACATCTTTTTGAACTTCAACAAACTTATTCTTTTTCTTTTCTTTTCTTTTCTTTTTCTTATTGTGTTTTTTGTGGTTTCTTTCTTTCTTTCTTTTTTTCTTCTTCCAATTTTGGCCAATATTTCCTTTCAAACAAAGAGAACTAAAAGAAATGAGAAGTAGTTTTATGTATTTTTAATACTTTTGTTTCAATTATTTTTCTTTGAAATTAAATTGAAGGAGGCACGATTTTGAAAAAGAGAAATTAGAGTGCACAAATTTTTTTAGAAGAAGAATGACATGACATATGAAAAAAAATATCTTTCTTCAAACATTATTTTAATAAATTCTCCAAATTTGTTAAATTAATTTCAAAAAATGAATTTTGTGGCTAATCATTAATTGAACGATTTCAGTTAGTATTTGCCCGTGTCAATTAATAATTTATGAGACAATGTCAATTAATGATTGGATTCGATTGATCAAATACAGGAACGTTTGGTAAGGGGGTTCGTACCCTGATTCGAATCATGGTTCATAGTTCGTTACAGTGTTTTCTCTCATAAAAAATACACGTAAATCAAAAATAATTCTAATATCATAATTTTAATTTATGAACCAAACGTCTCCAACATCAACTATTTTAATGATCATCGACCCTTTTCTTAAGAAACCAAAAAATTATGACATTTGTTGACAGAGGTGACAAAAACTAGCCAACTCATTTTCTCTTCTTGAAATTTCTCAAAATTTGAATCCATCTACATCTCATTTAACTCATGTTTTATTGAGATTTCGCCCTAAGTTTCTATATTTTTTTCAAAAAAAAAAGAGAGAAATACGTTCATAACTGTTCCGCGAAATGCCATAAGACACATTTTCTCAAACGACATCATATACTAGACGACAATGAGGTTTACAAAACGACGAACGACAACAACCTCAAAATTTAAAAGCCGAACGAAATCTTTATTACCATGATCATTATGGACTTATAGTGATAACGATGGACTTTAATATTTTTTATTAATTAAAACAAAAAAAGAGGTATCCTATTACTAGTAGAATTCTCTTTTAACTTATGGCCCGTTTAGTTTGCTGATTCAAATTTTTAATTCGAGTTGAGATGTGATTTTATGTGAAAATTTTTTACTGTAACAAAAAATTTAAATATGACTGTTTCTGAGAACTTTTTACTGTAATAAAACTCAAATTTTAAACTCAAATCGGTAAAATGAACGGCCTTAGAGAGAAAAAGCAGAGTAGGGAGAGAGAGGGACTCAAAAGGAGAAGTGAGAGGGAAGTAAACATGGAATTTTTTTTTTTTCATTTTCCTTTAATTTTTTAATAGATAAAACACGTATCTAATACGCCCAGTCCTAATCCTAGTCAATTTTTTTTTTTTTTTGGATAACCTTAAACTTGCGATCTAAGCAACAAAAAAGAAGAGCTCATAAAAAACTATAGTTTGACATTATCTGGTTGACTTCTCTTTATTTACCGTTTGACTCGAACTAGAATTCCTGCTTAGACTAGAAATAGGATAGGAAATAGCTTAGCCTCTAAATAAGTCGTTCGTACCTTAGTTTTTTCCTTCAGGTAAGTTCATGCTATTTGCTCTTTGTTTGTTTCATTTGATTGGATTTTTAGTTCCTGTTCTTTCTTTTTTTTTTTTTCTTTTTTTTTTTACCATGTTATCGTTTCTATGATCTTTTGGTTTTTTTTCAAATCAACTTAAAATGTTTAGTTTTTTCTTTTGAGATTTATGTTTTGTTTCTTAACAAGGTTTTGTTTGTCCATGAAATAAATGCGTGTTCTACTGTTCTTGAGATTCTTCTTCTTCTGTTCTTTGTCAGTGAGGATCATGGAAATTAACTGCACAAATGCACTAACTAGATTCAATTTCTTACGTATACAATTCAATTAGGAGAACACTTTACATATACAATTGCTAAATGATATCAAAATAGTATGTCAGTATAATGAAAGATAAAACTAACTAGGATTTACTTGCAGTTTTTGATTTGAACTAGGATTCCTACTTAAAGTAGGATAGGTTAGCGTATATATAAGTCATTTTGTAATAATAAAAGTAGTTTACATTGTTACTGCTTAGAAACTTGATTACTGGTTTAATGCCATTCTTTGGTAATCACTAAAAACCGGTTAATGGGATAATGCACCGAAAAAGAGTAAATCTGTTTTAAGGGGAAAGTAAACATTGCAAGCAAAGAAAAATCAAGTACTGCTCTTTGTTAAGGAAATCCCTTTTTTCTTTTTTTCTCTTTTTTTTTTTTTTCTTTAAAGAATACTTTGTGCCTATTATTTTTGTGTGTTGCTAACTTGGGTTACAGTCTGTTTAGAAACTTGCTTCTTTCTTGTTCTAACCTTTTGCTTTCTAGTTACATTATTGTGATTGTTAACTTCCTTAAGAATAATTAGGTTTCTCTGATTTTAGGATTCTGCTAAAGCGAATCGAGAATCGGAATTTGCTCACGGACAGTCTTGAGTAATGGTTTGTTCTGATCAGTGTGACTGTTTGGCCATGTTTACATGCAAACGAGAAACATACTTTTAGATTTTAACTACTTGAAATTTGAGATTTTTTTTTTTTTCCTATTTGTCCTGATCTTTTTGTCATGTTTAGAAAGGCAAATATTATTAAGTGTGATAGGGAGATAGAGAGATTCGGGTTTCGGTTGTAGTACATCACTAAGAGACAATTTAGCATATTTTGAGATTTTTGACATGAAATGCACCACTAAAGATGGTTCAGACGCGAATTTCACTTTATGATGTTCCAGGAAGTCATTTGATTTTATATTTGTCAAAGAAGAGATGGATGTTTCGTCTACCCCAGGCTATGAGAAACTTGGACAATGCTTGAATGCACATAATCCGGTATGTTAGGTACAAATGCAACTGAAGAAGAACTCAGTGATATAAATTCTTGTGTATAGCCCTTGAGCAATTTGTGCATGTGAGAAGAAAGCAAATGCTAGGGTGGTATAGTCAAGCCAGTTCTGGCATTTAAGTCTGCAAATCATAAAAAATATCGCCGCGGCTTCAAGTCTTCAGAATGGTTGCAGAAGGCTTTTCAAAAGAATTGCTGAAAATGGAAGTCCAAACATTGATCTTTATAGAATATCTTGTTATTGGTGTGGTGACCTAATCATATTAGTTTTGTCTCCAGTTATGCGCTTTTGTGAACTTGTATCTATTCATGTACTATAGGCAACAAAAAAAGTAGATTCGTTTTAAGAGGAAAGAAAATGAGCCCCCATTAGTGTACTCTATATACTGGTGTACTAAGAAGGATTTTAAGTGGAGAAAAATAGGAAAAAGAGATGGTTTAGCACAACGAAATAAATACTTCAATTTCAGCCCAACAAGAGACAATAAAAAGAATGTCAGGGCGTGATTTCCAATTGTGGGAACAACCCTTTACAAAGTCAAGGAATAGTGTGACAAAGCTTACTCGAAAACGGTCTTGCTTAGGGCTGTTCGGTGAAAGGTCGCTTAGTGAACTATCGTTTTCTCCACTTCATTCATCAAGAAATGCTGACATTAACTTTTCATGGCATGTGGACCACGTTGAGTCTGTTTACTCGTCTGGTAGAAGGACGGGCTCCGATCAATCATGCAGCAACTGTCAGCACACAACAGAGTTGGAAACGTATCAAACCCTTCTGAAAGACATAAACTGAGAATGAGACGCATACCCTTCTGTCATTCAGGAAATTCAGCTAAGGAAGAGTCTCCTGTCGATTTTGTGTATGCTCAGAGCAAGATGATCATCTGAATTTTGGTGGATCATCTTGCTCTGAGCATACACAAAATCGACAGGAGACTCTACCTTAGTTGAACTTCCTGAATGCCAGAAGGATATGCGTCTCATTCTCAGTTTATGTCTTTCAGAGGGGTTTGATACGTTTCCAACTCTGTTGTGTGCTGACAGTTGCTGCATGATTGATCGGAGCCCGTCCTTCTACCAGACGAGTAAACAGACTCAACGTGGTCCACATGCCATGAAAAGTTAATGTCAGCATTTCTTGATGAATGAAGTGGAGAAAACGATAGTTCACTAAGCGACCTTTCACCGAACAGCCCTAAGCAAGACCGTTTTCGAGTAAGCTTTGTCACACTATTCCTTGACTTTGTAAAGGGTTGTTCCCACAATTGGAAATCACGCCCTGACATTCTTTTTATTGTCTCTTGTTGGGCTGAAATTGAAGTATTTATTTCGTTGTGCTAAACCATCTCTTTTTCCTCTTTTTCTCCACTTAAAATCCATCTTAGTACACCAGTATATAGAGTATACTAATGGAGGCTAATTATCTTTCCTCTTAAAACGAATCTACTCTTTTTTGTTGACTATAGTACATGAATAGATACAAGTTCACAAAAGCGCATAACTGGAGACAAAACTAATATGATTAGGTCACCACACCAATACCAAGATAATATATAATGATCAATGTTTGGACTTCCATTTTCAGCAATTCTTTTGAATAGCCTTCTGCAACCACTCTGAAGACTTGAAGCCGCGGCAGTACTTTTTATGATTTGCAGACTTAAATGCTAGAACTGTCTTGACTATACTGCCCTATCATTTGCTTTCTTCTCACATGCACAAATTGCGCAAGGGCTATACACAAGAATTTATATCACTGAGTTCTTCTTCGGTAGTATTTGTGTCCCGTCATACCGGATTATGTGCATTTCAAGTGTTGTGCAAGTTCC